TGCCCCCGTCGCTTTCATGCGGTTTGCCTCCTCGCGCGACCGACCGAGCAACAGCGAAGCGGGTCGCCGTTGCTTGTCTCGTCACTTGCCAAGTCGCTTTCATGCGGTTTATGCTTGTCTGTTTCATCCAGCATGTGAGCGATTTTCCAGGAGACCTGTTGCTCAGTTTGTCACTCGCCGAGGCAAATCGCACGCAGCGACCTCCAGGCGATGACCAAAGTGTTCAGGGAATTTAGAACCGAACACTGCGACAGGCGACAGCGACCAGCGATAGCCTAGCTCATCGCTCGCCAAATCGCTTTCATGCGGTTCAGCCGTGGCCGATCGTGCTTTCTTTTTCAAGCCGTTCCGCTCATCATCGAAGAGCTTTGGCAAGGTGGGTTAGAGCGCCGGATCGAACGCACGCACTGCAGCAATTCAAGGATCTAGGGTTCGACCCCTACCTTACCAGTCTTAACTTGGATAAACATTGTGCTGGCATGCGGTAGTATATCAGTAGTATGTGACGTCCCTTCAAAACCCCGGGGTAGCGGTAGTACTGCACTGGCTGGATTTCCTACCTACAGTGTAGAGCGTATCTGCAACGACAACCATCCACCTCTCTAAATTTCCATGCACTTTATTTTTCTTAATGGCCAGTAAATCATATGCTATTTTCCCCTGAGCATCAGGCACCTCTGCGTGATTCCACCAACTTCCTGGTCGGAGGTGCAGACACATGTTGGGAGCCTACAAACGAGCTAGAAGAAACAGCCGTTAGAACAGGTAAGGTTATTGACGTAACTTGAATGTCTTTTAACGTAACAATGTGTGGGCTGTGAGTGCTGCACCAGTGGGCCCATACTCCTGGGCCAAAAGCAATAACACCCCCTTAACATTCTTCCGTCTTCTCTCTTGCATCTCTCCAGTGACTCCAAGTGTGTTGGCATGTCGGCTGGTTGCACCTGCGGCCTCCCCCACTGCAATAACGCGGACAGACAGTGCCAGCACCTTTACAGGTATGCAGGCACTCCAATGGGACCTATACTGCGTGGTGTCACCTGCTTCAAGCGGAACTGCCAGACGCATCCACACAGTGCTAATGTTGCTCTAAGGCTTTTTGTGTCTCGATCATGCACTTCTATGCTGATTCATGTCTGTTCATAGGCGCCCCTGGAGCGTTGGGTTGCCCACCTGCGGCCTCGCCGACCGCTCCGACACGAACAGATGGAGCCCGCACCCCGACAGGTATGAAGGCACTCCGATGGGACCTATACTGCGTGGTGTCACCTGCTTCAAGCGGAACTGCCAGACGCATCCACACAGTGCTAATGTTGCTCTAAGGTTTTTTGTGTCTCGATCATGCACTTCTATGCTGATTCATGTCTGTTCATAGGCACCCCTGGAGCGTTGGGTTGCCCACCTGCGGCCTCGCCGACCGCTCCGACACGAACAGATGGAGCCCGCACCCCAACAGGTATGAAGGCACTCCGATGGGACCTATACTGCGTGGTGTCACCTGCTTCAAGCGGAACTGCCAGACGCATCCACACAGTGCTAATGTTGCTCTAAGGTTTTTTGTGTCTCGATCATGCACTTCTATGCTGATTCATGTCTGTTCATAGGCGCCCCTGGAGCGTTGGGTTGCCCACCTGCGGCCTCGCCGACCGCTCCGACACGAACAGATGGAGCCCGCACCCCGACAGGTATGAAGGTACTCCGATGGGACCTATACTGCGTGGTGTCACCTGCTTCAAGCGGAACTGCCAGACGCATCCACACAGTGCTAATGTTGCTCTAAGGTTTTTTGTGTCCCGATCATGCACTTCTATGCTGATTCATGTCTGTTCATAGGCACCCCTAGAGCGTTGGGTTGCCCACCTGCGGCCTCGCCGACCGCTCCGACACGAACAGATGGAGCCCGCACCCCAACAGGTATGAAGGCACTCCGATGGGACCTATACTGCCTGGTGTCACCTGCTTCAAGCGGAACTGCCAGACGCATCCACACAGTGCTAATGTTGCTCTAAGGTTTTTTGTGTCTCGATCATGCACTTCTATGCTGATTCATGTCTGTTCATAGGCGCCCCTGGAGCGTTGGGTTGCCCACCTGCGGCCTCGCCGACTGCTCCGACACGAACAGATGGAGCCCGCACCCCGACAGGTATGAAGGCACTCCGATGGGACCTATACTGCGTGGTGTCACCTGCTTCAAGCGGAACTGCCAGACGCATCCACACAGTGCTAATGTTGCTCTAAGGTTTTTTGTGTCTCGATCATGCACTTCTATGCTGATTCATGTCTGTTCATAGGCGCCCCTCGAGCGTTGGGTTCCAGGCTGCCTCTACCAGCGGCCTCACCCACTGCTTTGACGCGGACGAATGGAGCCTGCACCCCGACAGGTATGCAGGCACTCCGATAGGACCTATACTGCGTGGTGTCACCTGCTTCAAGCGGAACTGCCAGACGCATCTACACAGTGCTAATGTTGCTCTAAGGTTTTTTGTGTCTCGATCATGCACTTCTATGCTGATTCATGTCTGTTCATAGGCGCCCCTCGAGCGTTGGGTTCCAGGCTGTCTCTACCAGCGGCCTCACCCACTGCTTTGACGCGGACGAATGGAGCCTGCACCCCGACAGGTATGCAGGCACTCCGATGGGACCTATACTGCGTGGTGTCACCTGCTTCAAGCGGAACTGCCAGACGCATCCACACAGTGCTAATGTTGCTCTAAGGTTTTTTGTGTCTCGATCATGCACTTCTATGCTGATTCATGTCTGTTCATAGGCACCCCTGGAGCGTTGGGTTGCCCACCTGCGGCCTCGCCGACCGCTCTGACACGAACAGATGGAGCCCGCACCCCAACAGGTATGAAGGCACTCCGATGGGACCTATACTGCGTGGTGTCACCTGCTTCAAGCGGAACTGCCAGACGCATCCACACAGTGCTAATGTTGCTCTAAGGTTTTTTGTGTCTCGATCAGGCACTTCTATGCTGATTCATGTCTGTTCATAGGCGCCCCTGGAGCGTTGGGTTGCCCACCTGCGGCCTCGCCGACTGCTCCGACACGAACAGATGGAGCCCGCACCCCGACAGGTATGAAGGCACTCCGATGGGACCTATACTGCGTGGTGTCACCTGCTTCAAGCGGAACTGCCAGACGCATCCACACAGTGCTAATGTTGCTCTAAGGTTTTTTGTGTCTCGATCATGCACTTCTATGCTGATTCATGTCTGTTCATAGGCGCCCCTCGAGCGTTGGGTTCCAGGCTGCCTCTACCAGCGGCCTCACCCACTGCTTTGACGCGGACGAATGGAGCCTGCACCCCGACAGGTATGCAGGCACTCCGATGGGACCTATACTGCGTGGTGTCACCTGCTTCAAGCGGAACTGCCAGACGCATCTACACAGTGCTAATGTTGCTCTAAGGTTTTTTGTGTCTCGATCATGCACTTCTATGCTGATTCATGTCTGTTCATAGGCGCCCCTGGAGCGTTGGGTTCCAGGCTGCCTCTACCAGCGGCCTCACCCACTGCCTTGACGCGGACGAATGGAGCCTGCACCCCGACAGGTATGAAGGCACTCCGATGGGACCTATACTGCGTGGTGTCACCTGCTTCAAGCGGAACTGCCAGACGCATCCACACAGTGCTAATGTTGCTCTAAGGTTTTTTGTGTCTCGATCAGGCACTTCTATGCTGATTCATGTCTGTTCATAGGCGCCCCTGGAGCGTTGGGTTGCCCACCTGCGGCCTCGCCGACTGCTCCGACACGAACAGATGGAGCCCGCACCCCGACAGGTATGAAGGCACTCCGATGGGACCTATACTGCGTGGTGTCACCTGCTTCAAGCGGAACTGCCAGATGCATCCACACAGTGCTAATGTTGCTCTAAGGTTTTTTGTGTCTCGATCATGCACTTCTATGCTGATTCATGTCTGTTCATAGGCGCCCCTCGAGCGTTGGGTTCCAGGCTGCCTCTACCAGCGGCCTCACCCACTGCTTTGACGCGGACGAATGGAGCCTGCACCCCGACAGGTATGCAGGCACTCCGATGGGACCTATACTGCGTGGTGTCACCTGCTTCAAGCGGAACTGCCAGACGCATCTACACAGTGCTAATGTTGCTCTAAGGTTTTTTGTGTCTCGATCATGCACTTCTATGCTGATTCATGTCTGTTCATAGGCGCCCCTGGAGCGTTGGGTTCCAGGCTGCCTCTACCAGCGGCCTCACCCACTGCTTTGACGCGGACGAATGGAGCCTGCACCCCGACAGGTATGAAGGCACTCCGATGGGACCTATACTGCGTGGTGTCACCTGCTTCAAGCGGAACTGCCAGACGCATCCACACAGTGCTAATGTTGCTCTAAGGTTTTTTGTGTCTCGATCATGCACTTCTATGCTGATTCATGTCTGTTCATAGGCGCCCCTGGAGCGTTGGGTTGCCCACCTGCGGCCTCGCCGACCGCTCCGACACGAACAGATGGAGCCCGCACCCCGACAGGTATGAAGGCACTCCGATGGGACCTATACTGCGTGGTGTCACCTGCTTCAAGCGGAACTGCCAGACGCATCCACACAGTGCTAATGTTGCTCTAAGGTTTTTTGTGTCTCGATCATGCACTTCTATGCTGATTCATGTCTGTTCATAGGCGCCCCTCGAGCGTTGGGTTCCAGGCTGGCTCTACCAGCGGCCTCACCCACTGCTTTGACGCTGACGAATGGAGCCTGCACCCCGACAGGTATGCAGGTGCTTCAAGAAAAAAAAAAAAATTGGGTTGTGTGTATGTTTATAAAGTCTAGAACTTGGTCTACCTCAACGGGCGACGTGTCTCCCAGCTGTAGATGAGAAATTTACCCAGTGCAGTACAGCCACTAGCCTGGGGTCCTTAACGAACATCACGCACTAGTGATGCACGACCGCACGCTGGTACGATGCTCATTCAGATCAAAACAGGCAGGGGTGGGGATAAAACCCAGCATCTTGGGTTCTGCAGCGCGAGCTTTCGCTCCACGTGCTCTGAGCTGGTGTGCGCTAGCCCACTCGGCCACCGATCCCCCCTCAGGTGCTCCAAGCGGGACCTATACTTCGTAGTGTCACCTGCTTCAAGCAGAACCACCAGACGCATGTACACAGTGCTTGTGTTGCTTCTAAAGTTTTCTTGTCGCTCAATCATGCACCTTTACGCTGATTGATATATGTCCATAGGTACGTTTGGTGCGTTGGTTTCCATTCTGCGTCCACCTGTGGCCTCCCCCACCTCTCTGATATGGACTGACGACGCCCGCACCCAGACAGGTATGCAAGCACACCGAAGGGGGACTATACTCTTTTGCGTCACCTGTATCGAGCAAAACCGTCAAAGGCCTCTTCATATTGGCAAAGTGATTGTCACGTTTGACATCTACACAGCGCTTTTGTTGCTACAAAGGTTCCTTTGTTTCTCAATCATTGACTATTTCTGCTTTTCGTTTACTTTACAGCAGCCTTGAGAGCAATGACTGCTGCTAGACATCCTGTGTTTTCAGCATCGTCACGTTACGAGACACGGTCCGTGATGACGCAGACAACAGGCTTCGGCAGAAACGCAGGTACGGTCATTCATGTAAACTAAATATACTGACACGAGAATCATTTTAATTCTGTTCGAATTCTACTTGAGCGAGTTAAACTGAGAAGGAGGCGGTGTCAGATATATCTCAATGTTTGAGCTGTGCAGATGTTTGGTATTTGTTAAAGAGAGCTTGGTGTAGTTAGCACACAGAGTTTAAGTCAAAAACCCATTCATTATATTTAAATGGAGCACATTTCTAATGCCTTAGATTTTTTGCTAGGTACACAAGCATGTATACCATCGAGGAACAAGAAAGTGCAGACGGAGCTTTCTGGAATTATGCCGCAGACCTCTTCCTCGTCAAACTGTGGTGATCCAGAACAGAGGTATGCAAAGGTCTTGGGCCTACAATGCCTAGAGCATCTGAACGCCATCTGGCAACAACCTCTCCACCTATTTCTGTGTTAGTTTTAGGAGTTCCCTGAGGCCCTGCAACTCCCAGACATCACTTTGTGACCCCCCTTTTGTGCAGTTCTGATTCAGAAGACCTGGGTGTATCAGGGAAGCAGCCACTGGAAAGAGATGACCCTACGTATTGTCCACCAGAGGACAGCTCTGTTAGGTCCGTATGCAGTCGTGTAAGAATTTATGAGATCATCTATCATGCCTAGACAGTTTGTTGAGATGATGTTGGTTTTTGTGTCGCAGGCTTGAGAGGGAAACACCATCTTTGGTAAAGGAGAGGAAATTCATTGTATTCGAGTCTTGCCTTGACCTTCTCCTGGGGAAGTGCCAAGTATGTGCTGCTCCCCTGATCCACGTGGACAAGAGTGTCGTTGGCTGCAGCCTGCAAGTCTACTCAATTTGTCGGAGTGGACACGTGAATGACTGGTGCAGCCAGCCCATCATCAAGCGGAAGCCGGTGGGGAGTATCCTAATGGCTGCGGCAATCCTGTTCAGTGGCAGCTGCGTAAAGAAGACACTCAGAACACTCACCAGCATGGGGATTGTCTGTTTCTCCTATGGCACCTTCTTCAACATCCAGAAGGCCTTTCTCCTGCCCTCAATCGAAAAGGTACTCTGAAGTTAAAAACTGACAGAAACACCCCCCCCCCCCCCCCCCATGTTTTCCCTGTGCTCTTTGCTCCTCGTGACCACAATAAAGTGGGCCTAGAAACTGTTTACTACAGAAACGAGTGGTTTCGTTCCTGGTTTGGAAAGGAGTAACCCATGGCTGAAATTCCTTCTTTCTGCTCGTGTGTTGGTCTTGTAGGCCAAATTTGGTCCTCGAACCATTAAAACACATTCATTAAGACATAATAGTAGATTCTGTAAAGAAAATGTGACCTAATTTAAACTCGGTCTCTGTTTCAAGCCCAGTTGCCTATCCTGTATTTTTCGTAACCAGGTCTGGAACAAGCATCAGAACGAGTTGTTCGCAGCTGCTGCAGGCAGGCACCTCACCATCGCCGCTGACGGGAGAGCAGACTCACCTGGCCACTCGGCCAAGTATGGCTCCTACACGATGCTTGATGCCGATGACAACAAGGTCATTCACGTTGAAACCGTCCAGGTATGTACACAAATTCTATAGGTGCTCCAGATTCTATGCTGCCATAAGCATATAATGTTATACTTGCAACTAGGTAAATATCTGCTGAGCATTTTTTCGGCCATGTAGCTTGTAATTTTTTTAATAATTTGTTATCATCATTACAAAGTGTGGAAATGTGAATTACAAAATCGAGAGATGTGAGTTACACTCATTTCCCTTTACTGTGACTTGGACACAGCAATGGAAAGACACGCACCTCAATGTTCAGACATTGAGGTGTACAAACTGGCATATTTTGTTTCGTTTGTGCTGCTTCATGTTGTCCTCGTTTGTTTCTTTTAGTCCAATGAAACTGGGGGCAGCTATCATATGGAGCTGGAAGGCCTCAAGAGGTCCCTCAGCATTTTTGAGGCCCACTCGTTGATTGTGGCCATCCTGGTAACCGACCGGCATCCCCAGCTCAATGCTTGGCTGGGACGAGAACACCCAGATATCTGCCACCTTTTTGATTGCTGGCATGTGGGGAAGGGTAAGATTTAAAAAGGTTCCATCTATCCCAATGAGACTATCACCAGCTTGGGCAGTGGTCCTGAAGGCAGCCTTTGGGAAAATGTAAACTTCCCCAGCCGTGGGAAGTGTTAAGAGTTGCAAAAGATATAAAATTGAGCTATCTAACTAACTAAAATGGGCTATTTAAATTTCTAATTCGCAATTTTTAGGGCCATGTTGCAATTAGGGTTTTGAAGGCTGCCACCATGGTCATCTAAAGCAATTTACAAAAAGTAAAAAGAAGCAACTGGCTTAGAGATATTCACCGACAGACTTTGCGCTGTAATGGGTATGATTTTCGAAATTTGATATCACTATACGCACCTGTCCTACCATACCCATTACGGCGCAAAGTTTGTTGGTGACTATCTTGAAGCTGGTTGCTTCTTTTTACTTTTTACTTTACTTACTACCATGGTGGTAGCCTTCAAAATTCTTTGTTTTTGTTTTGCCTCTTTGCTTTTCAGATAACCTATTTTCAGTAATTTTTAAAAGCTTTCACTGAAAGACCTGGTATATCTAGACATAAAAATATGAACGGCGTTGTGGCAGCTTCCAGAAAAAGAAGGTCTGCCAGCTTCGGCCACGCTTTGTTGTTGCTGCTGCTAGTAAAAAAGAGATTGAAGTATGCGTGACAGGTTCCAGCTGGCACTGGAGTTTCAAAAGAGCCTGTTGGCTTTCCAAAGGTGCCCTGCATGCATCATGTTTACCTTGTTTACAACATTTCACTTCAGGCATCAAGAAAAAGCTGGCTGCAGCTGCCAAGTCACGGCATTTAGAGGAGCTCGGGTCTTGGACAAGGGCAGTGGTGAACCATCTGTACTGGTGTGCTGGGTCAAGTGTCGACAACCAGGACCTCATCCTGCCAAAATGGAAGTCTCTGGTGGCACACGTAGTGGGTGTGCATACCCACGCTGACCCTCTCTTCCCAGAGTGTGAGCATGAGGAGCTAGAGAAAAAGTGGCTAGCAGAAGGTAAGGACAGATTTTTATTTTTGTGAGGCTTGAAATACGCTTTCTGCATTGCACTATGTCCCACGTTCTTGTTGTAGGGTCCCCTGCGCACCAGAAGCTGGTGGAGATCGTGCTCTCCACTCACCTGCTTCGCGACATTCCTCGACTGTCCACATCGGCGCAGACATTTGCAACAGAGTGCTTTCATAGTACTCTGTTGCAGTTTGCGCCGAAGCAGGTCCACTTCAGCTTCCGAAGCATGAAGGCCAGGTGTGTAAGAAATTTGGTTATTTCCTGTTTAGGTGTTTTTTTGTCATGCATATCTTGTACAGGACCTACCTCGCTGCCCTCCATTACAACGAAAATGCGGGAAGGCCCCAAGCGGTGACCAAGAAAGGAGAGAAGATGTGGGTCATCAAGTATCCAAAAGCAAAGAAAGGACCCACTGTTGCTAAGCGCAAGACTGACTGCACCTATGGTATATGCCCGTGCTCATATTTGTACGTGGCTGGTGCAGATTTTTTAATTGCTTTGAATGTCTCATTACAGAGTATGTGGGAGAGCTCATGGCAGTTGTGCTGCACCTCTGCTCAACGCTGCCATCCTACAAGGCTGCAGCTGCCCTCTGCAACCAGGATGCACCTCCATTTCTTTCTAGTGCGTATCAGCATGGAGATAAACAGGCATTGGTGCAACAGCACTGCTCTAGGTTTACTCGGTAGTCTGATGTAGGCCAAGGTTCCACTTGCTTGATGCAGCTTCTTGCGCTACGCTCCAGCTTTTTCACTTCACCGTGTTTGACCGTTCGGAAAACCTCAGCAAGAATGGGATCCACTGCTGTGTTGTCGGCCAGTTCCTTTTCAGTCATGGGAGGTTTCGTCGGGGCTTCTAACATCAGTACGTTGCCTGAAGGATGTTGCTCATTGTCAGTCTCGGGCAATGGTAGTCTGCCTAAAGCATCAGCGTTTTAATTTCGCTTTCCTGGTCTAGAGATTAGGTTATAATCATAGGCTCCCAGCTTAACACACCAGCATGTCCTACTTGGTGAAAGCACTGTCGGTACTGGGGACTCCTGTCCTATGAGGCCCAACAGTGGTTGGTGGTCAGTCGTTATGGTCACGTGATGCGCCGCAACGTAGCGATGAAAACGGTCCATGGCGAATATAATAGCCAGCCTTTTACGATCCAATTGGGAGTAATTCTTTTCACGTGACGCCTTGCGACGTAGTGATGAAAACGGTGTATGGCAAAGATAGTAGCCAGCCCCTCACAATCCAGTTAGAAGAAATCCTTTTCGACCTTAATGAGCATTCTTGATGTAAAGACGATCGGTGTTTTGTTTCTATCTGAATCTAGCTGAGCTAATACTGCCTCGATGCCGTAGAGGGTTGCGTCACATGACACGCTCAAGCTTTTGTTTTTATCGTAGTGTGCGAGAACTGCACGCTGTGCAATAACATACTTTAACTGTCTAAAGGCTCGCCAATTTGTTTCCTGCCATTCACCGGGGACGTCTTTCTCTAGAAATATGTAGAGGTCTTTCGTGATTGTTGCCCTGTTTGCCAAAAACCGATCGAAAAACGCTAGAAGACGAAGAAACGACTGCAGCATTGTTTGGCATGTTGGTTCGGGCATCTCTTTGGTCGCTTTCAGTTTCTCCTCTGTCGGGTGTATCCCGGCAGTATCGATGATGTATCCGAGGTATACAACTTGTTCCACTGCAAAACGTAACTTGCACCTCTTGAGTTGAAGTCCAGCCTGAGCAAGTCGCATCAAAACTGTATCCAGTTGAGTCATGTTCTGCTGCGGTCGTACCGCTGATAGCGTCATCGAGGTATACCCCGATCCGCGGGATTTTAGGTAGTACTGCTTTCATGAATCGATAGAAAATCGCTGGTGTTGGCAGCGATCCCAAATGGCATTCTTTTTACCCTGTAGAGGCCTTTTGCAGTGTTAATGGTTAACACGTCGGCTGTTTCTGTTGTTAACTGTAGTTGTTGATACGCTTGAGCAAGGTCCAGTGTAGAAAATACCAACCTGTTTTGCAGATTGGTTAGGATTTCTGGAATCGTCAGCATAGGGTGCACTGCGGCTTTCGCCTCCTTGTTTACCATACTTCGGTAGTCTCCACATAGCCAAATGGTCCCGCCTTTCTTTCGGACAACTACCACCGGTATAGCCCACTCTAAGTGCTTTGTCGGTTCGAAAATACCTTGGTTCTCGAGAGTTTTCAATTCAACCTCTACTGCGGTACGCAGTGCGAACGGCACGGGCTGTGATTGGAGGGAATTGGCAGTAGCGTCCCCTTTTAAATCAAAGTTTACAGGCGGACCCTTGTGCCCCGTGATCTTCGCATCAGAAACATCCTCATGTACACATCGCGACACTGTTAGCGCGAACACGACATCGGCGCATTTTCGCATTTTACTTCTAAATAGTATTAGCGAGCACGAAATTTTATTGCTCACATTATAAAGCTAAATGAGCTCTTTCCGTAGCAATAACAACTTGGATGGCATCCCTTGGTTTCAAAGAGAAAAACTGCAAAAACCGGCGATCGCTTGTTCGCGCTAACAGTGTCGCGCTCTGTACCTTCAAAATGTTCACAATGTTGTTTCTGGTGCCGAGGAGGTGAATTCCACAGACCCTAATCTTCAGCTCTTTGAACCAGTCTCTTCCTGAAGACTGGAACTGGTTCCACGTGTCACTACCAACGACAAGATGTATTGTTTCAATCAATGCCTGACGCAAACATTCGCCTTTCCAAGTACTTGTAAAATTTCTCCTGACCAGGTATGAAGGATTATTCCCTCCTGGTTCAGTGATTGGGGCTTCGTGGGCTACAGAGGACAATACGTGGCTTCATTGATGATTGAGCAAGCATCTGTCGAATTGATCTCAAATTCCAGCTCTCGGTTTTCAATCTCCAGGATGACCTTAGGCAGCATTCAGCTCATGCAGGCTCCATGACTTGTCCGAAAGATCATCATCAGAATCAAGGGTCTCATTGTCCTGTTCCACGTTGTGTGTCATCCACGCTTGGTGCTGCGCCCTTAACTTCTTGAAACAAGCCTTTTTGACATGCCCCTTCTTGGGGCAGAGGTTACATCGTGTATTTTGGAACTTGCACGAGAACGCCGAATGCTGTTCTTGGCATCGGTAGCACGTCTGGGATTCTGACAGTTTGTTTTGTCTTTCCGTTTCCACAATTTCAGCAGTAATATTGCTTTTTTGACAGCTTAAACCTAAGATTTTTGGGTTTTCAAATCTCGTTGATGTTGTGCAGCACTTTCTGTCCGCACGGCCATGTCGTATGCTTTATGAAACGTTAAGTTGGTCCCTGCAAACAGACTCTGTTGTAGATGCTCGTCTCTTATGCCACGAACAAAACAATCTCAGCCTGACGTCGAGAGGTAGCATGGTTGGGTTGAAAACTGGTTGACTCACCGGAACTGAAGTTCCAGTTGCTCCCAAGTTGACGGAACCAGCTGTCGTTCCAGTTGTAGCCAAACCCATGCCTGCGGTACTGGAAGTTGTTGCAGCCGCCTGTGTCACTAGAATCCCAAAGTTACAATCAGCAGCTAGCTTCTTTAGGGCTGTCGTGTAGCTGGAAATTGACTCCCAGGCTGCTGGTCTCTTCGCTGGAACTTCGTTGTGCCGAAGAGCTCCGACGGCTGCGGGTCAAAGCAGCATCACCATGAGTTCACCGAAATTGACACTTCTGGGTGTTCTCGGTGCAGCCAGTGCTCGCACGACTTTGTACGTCTGTGCTCCACAACGTGTAAGCAGTAGGGCCCTTTTCTTTTAAGGATCTGTTATTCTGTTCGCCTTGCAGTAGAAGCTGTCTGGTCGAATTCTTCCAGCTTGCCTTGGGTGGTCATCCCGCTGTAGTTCTTGGACGTTGACCGACCTCGTCGCTAAAATGTAATGTATCCTGGGTAAAGCCCAAGCACAACACCAAGGAGCGTCCAAACGTTGCTTTTTAATGGTGCCTCGAATCCCAATGCCCGTGCACACGTACCGTGCCCCAGGCCTGTGCTTTTGAAGAGCGCTGGTAAGTGCATTTGCCTGGCAACGCTATCTCTTGGCCACCAGCCGATACATGACAGAAGCCAGTTCTTGGCCGACTTGCATCCGAAGATTTTGTTTAAAGGCTCAAAGTTTCAATCTTTGCATGAGGAAAAAGTTGATCGCCACATGCAGTAGTAGAGTAAAAATGTTTCAGGAGCCAAAAGACAAGAAAGGGGGTTATCGGAGGCTGCTGATATTAGCGAGGACAGGGCAGATGGTATAGGAAGGAGGTTGGGTTAAAAAAAAAAATCCCAACTTGCCTCATGAATATGATCAAGAATGGAACGCAGGAAGTGTTGTTGCTTGTAAGGAGGCCCTCTAGAGGTGGCTCTTTACAGTGCTTGGCTGGTAGTTTGAAGACCATGGCATTCTCAAAGGAGGCATCCGAGACCAATTGGACTACTGGAATTTTTACGGAATTTGCAGACTGGTAGTTGTCCTTCTCAGCTCTACTTTGCTCTTCTCTCGGGTGTGCACGCCATATCCTCTGCGATTCTTCTCAGTAGTACCCTTGCTTGTCTCCCAAGCCACCTGGGAACGAGCCCATTCATTGGGAATGAGACCATTGGAGACGGAGTTTGCTCTCCGCTTGGTCATTACGATTTTCATCCTCATCTGCTGCTTGGTCATCTGGTGGTGAGCAGTCATAATCCTGCAGATGGTGAAAGCCGTGGTGTATCCTATGACGATGATACAAAAACTAACTAATTTGCAAAGTGGGTTGGTATTTTTTACACTGGACCTTACTCAAGCATATGAACTACAGTTGCCAGCTGCATTTTTGTGCCTTGCTTGAAGACTTGATCACCACAAGTGTTACAAATCTGGTTTAGACAGTGATTTCCAAGGTGACTACGTATCAGCTGTTTAATAACAAATGTAAATTTTCTTACATTCATTGGCAAAGAACCACCGCCTTTTCCCACCTCTTTGTTTTGTCCTTCCAGCGAGCAACACTTGCAACTTCATTTTGGTCAATCAACCGTTTGAACCCAATGACTGCCTCGGAATTCTCGAGTTTCAGGTGCTACTGTGACACTTTGTTTTATGTTAGTCTGCCTTTTCTGTGGACAAATGCAGCTTTGCTTTGAATGGAAGCTCATATGCAGGATATATGCGCCAATTTTGCTGGAGGCTCAAGTTCTTGCTACAAAGATATACGAGAATTTGGAATTACCATACATGTATTTGTCTACACCTTCGACTTGGTTGCCGGTGTTGCACCATGCACACGGTGCAGTGCGGTTAATGCGAATAAGCTATCGCTAGTTTTTAACTTCTACTTTTGCAAATCAAATGTTTATCACTAAAACCACTTATGCAGTAAATAGGAGCGACTTACCATAATATACCAAGAGACAGCCCACGTAAAACTGAGAGCATATTAGGCGAAAATACAGGGTGGACTAACTTGCAGCGTGCAAAATTGAGTTCAACTAAAGCCATTAGGATAATAAGAAGTTATGCTGAAAATCAGGGTGGGCTATCTTTTGGGGATGGGTCTTCTCTTGAGATATTATGGTAGATGATAAAACTTAGCTTCTCCCTCTTCACTGCCTGAACAGTCTGAAAAAGCACAGGTGAAGTTCCGCTCTGTTGAATGAAAAATGCATTATAATCAGGAAAACTTAACTGTTCACGTTATCGTACCTACTAGTCATTAACGACCTCGCAAGCCATTCTTAGGTTCATAGGTTGCAACCTATTGCTAAACTTACGAGCCTAGAGCTTGGTGACATTTGCTGTCTTTTATTGATGAAGGTGTCTTTGAAGGGCTGGACAAAACATGCCGTAAACGAGTCCTTCAGGTGGCCAATACTTTTTTTATTTTTTGAACCCCCTGTATGTCCCATCTGTGGACGGGAATTCTTGCCGAATCTGACAGACGACGCAGCTGGGCAGCACCACTCGGTTTCCCCGCCCCAGCCTCTTGTGCACCCACCAGGTGAACTGGTGGTATGCCGTGTAGCGGTACTTCCTGTAATGAGATGAGGTGGCAGAAACCAGCGTTGAACTCTGAGCAAAGAGAAAAACTAATCACTATTTGCTTCTGACCTTCTCTACTATCCGTTTGTATAGTGTCAACAATCTCCAATGACATCTCGCAGTTTACATCATTACTGTCCTGTAGCATGGGGAACTTCTAACAACATTTTGTATGCAGAAGGATTTTAATTATATTTAATACTGCTTGAACAAGTGTATCTTCACTGTTTGTTGGCATTTAGTTTTTCGGGCTTTTCATTGCAGTATCGATATTTATGTTGTGGTCTATAGACAATTGTGCGGTTTCACGGTAACGAGATTGTCATTGTAGGAAAGAGCAATAAACTTTTTTTGGTGGAATTCTGAAAGCATGGGTACTCTCTCTAATTATTCTGAAATGATGTCTGACCCTGTTTATTTACATGCACAGTGTGGCAGTTAACAGATAAATGATGTCTGACCCTGTTTATTTACATGCACAGTGTGGTAGTTAACAGATAAATGATGTCTGATTCTGTTTATTTACATGCACAGTGTTGCAGTTACCAGATAAGCACACTGCTGTTATTCTTTTTTTTTTTCTTGAAAGGTGTGCGAGTACCTAATCGTAGTAGCTAAATCGAATTAAGAACCGATCATCGAATAGAAGACCATGTGTATGTAACAAGCTCAAATACAAGTTCCTGTGCAGTACCAGCTGCTGAACATTATTGGTGGTCAGTCATGCTAATTGGGCCATAACAATGTGGCCACTGAAATAAAATTGCCTATCACATTTTTTTTCTTGTAACACATTGTGCTTTCCAACTATGTTTTCATTTTAAACGCTCCAGTGCCCCCTAAAATTGGTATCCGTTAGTGGCACAAAAGCTTGCTTTTAATTTATCTTTACCCTGTCGCACTACACCAGGGTGGACCGGTAAAATTAAAATGTATTTTGCATATTTGGAAGTTCAATACAACAGCCTGCTAGAATGGAGGGAAGGAAAAAGTATTTCGCTTGTGCTGCACCAACCACATCTTTCGCAATACCTAATATGAGAAATCAGATTTGCAAATAGAATTATTTGAGAGCTTCATGTTCGATTCATATTCAAATATTTGCACACCGTATAAATTTCTTGTTCTTAGGAGAATAATGACATTTATCAATATTACTAGTGTGGTGAAATGACCACATATCAAGATTTTGATTTTAGAGACAGGATTTTTCATAATGCCTGAAAAAAGCATGACACCAACGCTGTGTTTGTAGCTGTAAACACGAATATTTGGAGTGGAAGCCAGCGGTAACAACTAGAATGACTGCAATAAGCTGCAGGGGTGTAATCAACAAGGGGGGGGGGGGGGTCTACAGCCCCCCCCCCCCCCCCCCAAATATTTAGCTGACACTATAATATACACATGCATTTTGAACCCCCTCCCCCTCTCCGCACCCCAAGTCGTGGACATCCCGGCCACCTTGGCCCCGACCCCGAAAAAAAATTCCTGGCTACACCACTGATCAGTTGAATATACATACTCCTCTTGGGTCCGGTTCCCCGCATCCAAAGGGCAGAAGTATTGCATTGTGACATACGCCAGGTCCAGCACTGGCCTGTTCAGGCAGTAGAGCTCGAACCAGGGGTGCTTGGTGATACAGGACACCCCCTGGTCCTGGCAGAGCTCTCTTGCACGGTCAACCTCTCGGCAGCACAGGGACTCGTAGTCCGTCAGCATCGCTCTGCAGCCGTTGCAAGAGCACCTGTTGGGACAAATTTTGCTCAACGAATGAATGCCGGAAATACAAGGGCACTACGAAACTTTACTCGATGTTTTCTAAGGTGTTTGCAACATCTACCTCATCCATAAAACTTTGATAATGGCAGTTTTCGGTGCCGAAAACTGCCATTATTATCGCTCGCGCGTTGGAGCCTGTCGGGCTGAGGCGACCGCACGCCGGCAATCGCCACAGCGTATCTATGTTTTGCAACTGCTAATTCGTAAAGGTAGAGTGCGCATGCATAGCCTTGATCGGCACCAAGAAGATGGAGGCATATCCTGATATCATAGCAACATCCCGCCATTTCAATACATGCCGCGCCTGCCAATCGCGAAAATATGTACGAAATAAAAATGAAATATTTCTTGATCGCGAATGAAATAGAAAACTTACCAATTCGCGGAGCCCACACGACGGGCTGGTGGTGGCGTGTCCGGCCCGTCCCCGTCGCCTTCAGATGAAGACGACGCAGATGGGTCGTAAATGTACGGCTGTAAGCCGAATCGGCGATCTTTCACCATCGCAGAAGCGATGTCTTCGTCCTCGCTGGTGTCGCTAAGTTTTCTGTTTCCGCGACACGCCATCGCGACACAAAGCACGAACCGACTACCGTGTTTGGCACGGGATTAGTGGGTTCACGGACACTGGGATCACAGGGTGGCCGTGTTTGCCGGGTTGTGACTTGTGAGGCCGTTCAGACCGCAGGCAGGTCAAACGTATAGGTTGTAACATAACTTTACTCGTGAACGCCACCAAGTGACGAAATTCATAATCACGTCAGCCTCGCCGCAGCTTTCCTCCAATCGTTGATTGAGACGTCCTACGTCATGACTGCGCCGGATGTGACGTGGCCTCCGCTGGCTGTTCTCCGACTGCTTGCCAGAGTGGGCCGTTTAGAACGAAAAATACAGCCATCTGCTCAAAATACGGACGTGCGGTTGTCATTTTCGAGTATTGTGGATCATAGTCGACCTATTTCTGTACACGGCGGGTAAAATTCAAATTTCGTTGAAGTATCCCTTTAAACCCTACACTCTAAAAAAAAAGGGTATCACCTTACACCCTTTTGTCCCAAATAATACACCCCAAAACTTCATTTCGACGTACAGCGCCCTAGAGTCGAACAGACGGCACGAAATTTTACCAGGGGCTTGATAACGGTGCAACACAACTTATTAAATTGCTAAAGCACGTATCAAAGACCAAAGAAAGAAAACATGAAGCTTTTGCAGTGCGGCCAAGAAAACTCCGATAATCTTTTTTGTAGTCAATAATACGTCCATCAGCTCTCTTAATAAGTTGTACGACACGGCTATCAAGCCCCTCGTAAACTTTTGGGCCGCTTGTTCGATTATGGGGCGCTGTACGTCGAATTGAAGTTTTGGGGTGTATTATATGGGACAAGGGGTGTAATATTACACCTTTTTTTCTGAGAGTGTACCCTCAGATTCTATGTGTGAATCTATACACTGCATTCAGGATCAGGGGCTCGTTTTATCGTGCCGCTCGCAGAGCGATCGGTAAAGTCTGCAACTAGACGGCGGTGGTAATACTGCTGCCGTTTTCGCGTATAGCTGAGACAAGGGATGGACAGTATTTCAGATGCAGGTTTTTAGTATACGTATTTAAAATGCTTTGATGATTATGTTTTAGAGCGCAGCTCTTAGGCGGCCGTTTCCGGCTTGAGCGGCGTCGGCGTAACCGCGCGGTGCATTATGGGAAACGTCCCAAAATGCAACGCGCGGGTGTCACTCGTGACCGTCGGGTTGCATTATGAGACGTTTCCCATAATGACGTGACACGTGACGTCACCAGTCACGTCACGAGGGTCCCGCGCGTTGCATTATGGGAAACGTACCATAATACGTACCATCCTCTACTGCTCCTGAAGAGCTGCGCTCTAATTCGGCGTTACAGGAAGTTGTAAACGTCTTTTCATTTTTATTTCGTATCTAGATACATATTGCGGAATGTATTTGACAATTGTATTTTAATAACTGACATTTTAATATTTACAATACCTGTATTTTAGAAACGGCCGAAGAACCATTTTGGTCACTGTTTTTCGCGGCTATGGGCGCTTTTCGAAATGGGAGTCATGCAGGGAGCATGAAACTTGCTGCGTTTTCCTCATAATAAACTTCACAGAAAGAAGGAAGAGCGGAACAAAGAATTAAAGGGATGGGTACAGTTATTCACGTTTTGGTTGACTCATTTATATTTTTAGACGTCGCATCAGCGGCATGTTGTTTGGAAGGACTTTTTTCAACTTAACCTTTCGAGACTAAACTCAAAATATATTGTTCGCTGTCCTTTTACCCACCTATATCATGATAAACAACATTTATTTTTGAAGCTCCAACTTCTTTTCGGCGCTTGATTATTGATTTCTACTTCACTCTATTTCAATGTGGCTTTTTTTTTCTTTTTTTTACTCATGTTTACATGTACATTAAAGACGTCAGGTTAAGGGAACAAAATATATTAGCAAAAGTATAGGAAGATGATCAAATACTCTTGTTACATTCGTATCCTGTATATTAAAAACATTTATTAAAATTGTAATTGAATTTGTAAATAGATAAATACATTTCTGTTAAAGTATTTGATATTTGTATTTCGATACATTTTTGGAAGTATTCTGCCCATCCCTGGCTAAGGCTGTATGCCTCATTCTACATGGAGATTTGCTGAACCATCTGCCCAGCTTATCGTTTGCTTGAGTGGCACTGGCATATATCTCCGGCTGTGTAACAGGATACGGAAACGCCAGTGCACAGCAGTTCGCAGTTTTCACTGGGCTGTCCTTATATCTCTGCTCATAATTTAGAAACAGAAGCGTACCTCGAACTGTTTCTAACGAGCTCCATTTCTTGCGTGTCCTCTCATTGCTGGATATTTGTTCTCGCCTCAGTGCCGAACGCAGCGCTATCGCAACGAGCCGTTGAACACCGGTCGGATTGCTGTTGTGTCTCATTCAGCCGCAGTTTCGTTGAGTAAATGCTCGACCGACGCAAATTGTCGCGCGAACAAGACCGGGCCCTGTTCAAAGCAAGCAGCCGTGGACAGCCGATGAAAGGGAATACTGAACCTCCGCTTTGTCGTCGTGGTTTCAAACCTCTGCAACAGGTTCGGAGGATCGGTCATCACGGATTCTGTTCAAGACACCGATGTCGCCTGATTTTAATTCCAGGCTTACAAACGCTGCAGCAAAAAACACAAAACATGTTTTATTCATTTTTTATAAAACCGAAATCCACAGGGTTTGAATGACAAACTTCGCTCCTTAGACATTTTGTGCATGTTGTCCGGTACGGGGCGTGCGTCTGTTTAGTATAATAATGACGATGATGATGATGTTAGGCTGATCAGGAAAGTGAAGACATTTGGGGAAAAGAAAGAATGATGGACGACGTTCTCGACCGCGGCGGACGTACGCCAGGGCGCGTCTGTTGCGTCATGTTAATAAATCATCTAGGGACCCAAATTTTAGGAATTAGCTTTTTAGATATTTGTTTTAGCGCACGTATTCTAATCAGAGACTAAAATGTCGCAAAATGGGCGAGAGGAGTTTTTCGGTTTTAAGAAGGAAACGTGTACGCCGCCCAATTGGCTAGGTGTGTGGGTATGTTTATTAGCGGCGAGGTGTTTCGGTGGCGCCCTCCTATGGTTCCCCCTTGTTACGTCATTACCTTGCGAACAACAAGTTCGATGGTGTTTGTAAATAGCATGGTGGAAGCCTGAAATCATTGCGTTCTCATAGCAACACTGCAAACACCGTCGAAATTAAATTTCTTTCATTCCTCTCATTTCCGTCGATGGTATACCGTTTCCGACGTCATAGTCAGCTTTTGGGCCAATCGTGGAAGGCCGACCACAGCGACGCTTTCGGTCGCGCACGTCGCCAATACAGCCTGAGCTTAGTCTGCCTGAACGGGCGACTTGTCCCTCAGCTGTAGATGAGAAATTGAGCCAGTGCAGTACAAACCGCTAGTCCGGGGTCTTTAACGGGCATTACACAGCAGTAATACACGACCGCACTCCGATCTAGATGCTCACCCAGATCGAAACGGGCAGGGGGCGGGGACTGAGCCCCGGGTGCCTGGGTTCTGCAGCGCGAGCTTTTGCTCCACGTGCTCCGAGCTGCAAGTGTGCGCTAGCCCACTTGGCCGCCGATCCCCCAATAGACCGATCTCACCAGCTACTTTGAGAACGCCATCGCTGCCGCCAAGCATCATGGGAGCTGTAGTCTTTCTACACGCGCGATAACCCCGCTGGAGGTCTGCGCGAGCAGAGCACGAGGCAGCATGAGCTCTCTCGTGAACTGGCGTCTGCCTCCTACGAACTACAGTTATGGCGGCGTCACGCATGCGTGGAACGCTTGGTGAGATCGGTCTATTCGCTGTGGGTTCCAATAGGCTCCAATAGATTGAGTTCGTTTCTTCTGCTATTGTTACAAGATCCTGTGGTGACAATCGCTTATTGTATGGAAAGCCCCTGTTGGCACAGGCATACATATTAAGCTACGAAATTAGAAACAAAATAAAATAATCAGAAACGACGTTGATATGTGAATGCTCTCGACGAGAATTCTTTGCACGGAGTGAAGTTGTTTCTTTTGCTTGCGACGCATCTGTGGACGAGTCAAATGTAAGTGAAAACTGCGCGCCAGAGAATGAAGCCAGAAAAAGCTGGCAGTGAAACAGTTCGGAGGCCTTGCCTAGAGGAAATTCAGGAAATGCTCTTGTGTACGAGTCAGTTCGCACACCAAACAAATGGGTATAATAATAGGGCATGTGACATTGTTTAGGAAAAAAACAATTAAACAAAGAGGGCCTGTTTATGTAATTTGGAGAAGACGACATAGGGGTTTATGAACGCACAACACGCTTGCGAGTTCTGTGCATGCACGCGGAGCGCGCTGAGCCATGACGTGGCGGCATGGTCGGTGGCGGGGTGGCACGAAACAGACACGGTCTATTCTTGGCTCATTTGCTTTCGGGTTCTTGGCGTCGGTAGCCGGAAAAGTATTCCGCGTGAAATATCCGCGCGCTCGTTTCTGTCTGCGGTGTACAACAACAGTGCACTCCGTGTACTACAACAGCTTGCTCCGTGAGTGCAGCGTAGATGTGCGGGGGCACAGTGCTGTACACAGCTATCAGGGAAAGTAAAACGTCGCTAAGTCATTATTTTTTTAGGCGTCCTTCATCCTGGGCCCGGTATTCTCAGAAACAGAGATACGAAAGTGGTAACAGAAGCGCCTGAGTATCCGACACTTTTAATAACTAAAACACAAATGCGTTTTTTTTGTGTGTGTGTGTGTGTGTGTGTGTGTGTGTTTTTGTTTAAGGGGGGGGGGTATGTTTTTAATTGCAGAATTGCATTATTTTCTTACGCTAACTCTATTTAGCATTTAAAGTGTGAGTTAAGCGTGCCAACGTCGAAGAGATTTGGCATGGTTTGCCGGATTCCGAACGCCTGTACCACGAGCTCCGCCCTCCAAACAACGCAACTGTGAAAAAGAACAGGACAAGCAGGAGAGAGGTCTCCAAAACCATAGCCTCCCAAAACACTCCGAGAAGATCTCGCCAGCTGCGAAATCCTCAATACAAGAGAGAGAAAAGAAAAGACGAAAAAAGAAACTGACACACGATGTGGCGTGCCTGTAATGCTGAAACTAGAGTTAGCGTCTCCTGCATTCCTCATAGGACGCAATTCTGCATCTGATCGTTTATTCAATAAATTAAAATACAACAGCGATATTTTTTTTTTTTTACTTTTGTATTAAAGGTGAATGTTTTAGAAAACCTGAAAAGAAAGAGTTCATCGTCAAAACCTGACAGTGAAATTTTCGACAACAAAGGTAACGAGATACTTAAGCCCGGCAGTGTATCGATATGCAAGCGATACATTGTAAACGTATTTTCCCTGGGAGATACAACGCTCGACTGCATCTCGATACAGAAATACAGATGCCCGAAAGATTCTCCGACGTACTATCCCGATACATTTGT